TCCTGGTAAAAGCACACACCTTCATGACTGAATAAAACAAATAAAAAGAGGAAGGGGGAGGGGGAATTAGTTAAAGATTAATTAACGTTTCATATTGCCTTCCAAAAGATAAAGGGGGAAAGCTAGCTACAACAAGGGCCTTCGACACAAGAGACCCGCGCTCAACCCCAATGAGGGGGAAATATCAAGAAGCGTCGAAGGAAGAAAGGATTTTTTTTTCTCTATTTTACCACCCCTCCACTTTCTGTTTCTTTTACTTTTTTTAAAAAAAAGTTTTCGTTCTGTTTTATTATTTGAAGCGGTTGAGGACACAGCAGCCGCCGCCGCCTCCTCCTCCTTCTTCTTCTTCGCCCGCCGCCTGCGCGCTCGAGCTGAAACTGCCATGTGCGCCTGCGCAGGCACGGCGGTGTACGTCGTCGGGTCGGTCGTGCGTCTGCGCGATGCCGGCGGTCCGTCGGGTGGAAGGCCTCAGCGCTTGCGCGTGGCCGCGGTTGCGCCGGCAGGTGAGGCAGAACGCCTGCGCTCTGCCGTCGGCCGGCTGGACACTGCGTGGTACGCCTGCGCACCGCTGGCCGTCTTCCCAATGGATGTAGTCCGCCTGCGCGCTGCCGACGCTATTTGAATGTGTAGAGAGGGCATTGGGCGATGTGTCCTGGGCGCCTGCGCAGCACCGGCGGCTTGCCGGTGTAAACCTAGAGCGCCTGCGCTTTGCCGTCGACCCGTCCAAATGAACGTAGTACGCCTGCGTGCTGCCGGCGTCCGTTTGGATGGGTTAAGTGCGCGTAGGATGATTGTGTCCAGGGCGCCTGCGCCACACCGGCAGCATGTACGAATGAACGTAGAGTGCCTGCGCCGTACCGGCGGCGCTCGACGGGATGTCGAGAGCGCTTGCGCCATCCAGGCGTCCCGCCAGGAATGGTCTTGTGAGGTCAGAAGAACTACATCTCCCTTCGGGCGTTGCGCCTCACTTCCGGCCTCGGGGCCCACCTACACCAATCAGCGGGCGGCCAATGCGCAGCCGCACGTACGGACCAATCAGAAAATGCCTGCCAGAGGTCAGATGCCCACCAACAATGCAGAGAGACAGACCCTTCAGCCCATCTTGTTCCATGCTGACCAGATAGCCTGGATAAATCTAGTCCCATTTACCAGCCTTTGGCCTATATCCCTCTAAACCCATCCAGATGCCTTTTAAATCTGGTAATTGTACCCGCCTCCACCACTTCTTCTGGCAGCTTGTTCCATGCACACACCACCCTCTGCGTGAAAAAGTTGCCCCTCAGGTCCCCTTTAAGTCTTGCCCCTCTCACCTTAAAGTTATGCCCCTCTAGTTTTGGACTCCCCCACCCCTGGGGGAAAAGACCTTGGCTATTCACTCTATCCATGCCCCTCATGATTTTATAAACCTCTATAAGATCACCCCCTCAGCTTCCAACGTTCCAGGGAAAATAGCTCCAGCCTATTCAGCCTTTCCCTATAGCTCAAACCCTCCAACATCTTTGTAAATCTTTTCTGAACCCTTTCAAGTTACTCAACATCTTTCGTATAGCAGGGAGACCAGAACTGAACGCAGTACTCCAAAAGTGGCCTCACCAATACAGCCACAGCACGACATCCCAACTCCTATACTCAATGCACTGACCAATCAAGGAAAGCGTACCAAACACCTTCTTCACCGCCCTGTCTATCTGCGGCTCCACCTTCAAGGAACTATGTACCTGCACCCGAAGGTTTCTTTGTTCAAAAACACTCTCTAGGACCCTACCACTAAATGTGTAATTGATTTGCCTTTCCAAGATGCAGCACCTCACATTTATCTAAATTAAACTCCATCTGCCACTCCTCGGCCCGTTTGAACAAGCTCTCGTTGTACTCAGAGGTAACTTTCTTCGCTGTCTACTATACCACCAATTTTGGTGTCATATGCAAACTTACAACTCATACCTCCTATGTTCACATCCAAATCAATTCTATAAAAGACAAAAATCACCCAAAATCCCTGTAAATCTTTTCTGAACCCTTTCAAGTTACGCAACATCTTTCCTATAGCAGGGAGACCAGAATTGAATACAGTATTCCAGAAGTGGCCTAACCAACATCCTGTACAGCCACAACATGACATCCCAGCTCCTATATTCAATATAGATTCCAGTCTGTAACTCATTCCCAGGGATCTGTTATTCTGTAAATAAACTATCCTCATTGCCTTAATTAAATTACAGACTGTAACTCACTCCCAGATACCTGCTCATTGATTCCCCCCATTGGGCCCATCAAGTCCACACTGACCCTCCAAGGAGCACCCCACCTAGACCCACCCCCTACCCTATTCCTGTATTCCCCATGGCCAATCCACCTAACTTCCAAACAGAATCACCCAAGGGTGGAATTGAACCTGGGTCCCTGGCACTGTGAGGCAGCAGCGATAACCACTGAGCCATCGTGCTGCCCTGTCATTCTATATATAAACCATCCCGAACCCCTTGATTAGATTCCAGTCTGTAACTCACTCCCAGGGTATCTGTTTTTCTGTATATAAACCACCCCGAACCCCTTGATTAGATTCCAGTCTGTAACTCCCTCCTGGGTATCTGTTATTCTGTATTTAAACCACCCCGAACCCCTCGATTAGATTCTAATCTGTAACTCTGTCCGGGTATCTGTTATTCTATATATAACCACCAAAGCCCCGCCCAACTCCATGTTTCGATTTGAGAGTGTACCTTAGTCCTGGCTGTGCAGTTTCTTGTTTGCACCAAGATCAGAGAGAAGAGTTTGTGCCTGTG